ATATATATATATATATATATATATATATATATATATATATATACTCTTCTAATTATTTAAACACTTTATTAAATGAGTATAATAAAGGAGAGACTCTCTCTCTTAATTCTCCAACTACAAGCTAATTGTATTCGTTATATAGATATGTCTTAAGAATTAGATTAAAAGGAATAGAAAAAGAAATAAAAAAAAAAAAAAAAAGAAGGGATTTTCTTAATATCGTATTATTTTTTTAGAAAATGTGACTATCATATTTAACAGGAAATAGTAAAAGAAACTTATTGATAATTCTGATAAATTTTACAAAATATTTAGGCCGCTAATTTCACATTACCCACGATTTTAGAGTTAATAATAATATAATAACTATGGTTAACAATAGTTCGTCTACATAATATTATACTATCAAAATTATCAATGTTTTAATGCGTAAAACAAAGATTTCATAATAAGAATGAACTACACTGCAATAATCTTATAAGACGCCCTAAGTTGCGATAATATTTTCTAAGATAATCTAGTATTAAATAAATTTAAAAAATTACTGATCTTACTCTGTTTATATTTAGAAGTTTAGAAAAACTTCAACTTTTTGATTAATTATAATAAAATACAATAACGAAAATTCAAGGGCAATTTCGGCAGATGTTCTATACCACTACCACAGATTTTACGACGACACCAACCGACAAAATGGCGCTCTCCCAAATGGCTTCCCTAACACTTCGTTTCCATGTAAACGCTCACGTGTATATATAAATGTTCTTGAGCAAATGTAAACTGCACTTTAATGTAAAACATTTATTTATATTATTTCCATTCCAAAAATGAAAAATAATAATAATAATTATTAAAAATGTATTTATATTAAATGAAATAAAATAATATGAAATATAGTTAATATTTTTTTTGTTTAATGCAGTGCATCCATCAACTAATCAGACGTGGTTCACTTATCTTGAAAGTGAGTGCAACATAGATATTTTTATATCGTATCATATGATATATCTATCTCTACTTATTAATGATATTTTGATGCATACAATCTCATATTACTAACTTTAATGAAACAGTATTTGAAACAGTATGTCATTTTAATATTGAAGTCTATGAGCGTTGACAATTTCTTAGAGCGTGGAATGATTAAATTTAAGTGTTATTAATTAAAAGGTAATACAAATAATAACAATATGACGCAAGCTTTTTTTCGTAAATAATTTTCATATTGAATGATGCTTGTCAAATTGTTATAAATTTTCTGATAATAAATTATTTACACAATTTTCTTGACAATTTATATATTTATAATGTATACAAAAAATATATGAATTTATTAATCTTAATATACTACATTTATATATATTATTTTATCTTTTTGATTTTGACAGTTAGAAAAAGTAATGTTGTAATAACAAACGTGTAAAGCAAAACATAGTTTCTATCATGGAAAAAACGATCAATCCTTGTTTGGATCCAAATGCAACGCTTGGAATTGATCAAGCATGTTTGAATATTATAAATAAATATAAACAAGATCTTACATTCTACTCTACCTTTTCTGAATGTAGACTGGTACGTATTTATAATAAAGCTAATGTTATTATTTAAAAAATCTATATATGCACGATATAATACTTTCATTATTTACCTTATATAGTGTCATGGAATACCAACAGCCAATTTACCTGCAGAAAATACTACATCATTATTAATATCTACAAAATATCCACTTCACATGTATTATATGAATAACTATGAATGGTGCCAGTAAGCAAATAATATATATACTTAAGCAGTCAAATATTTTTTTTAACATTTTAAACGCCACTTCGATATTAATGAACCAGCTTTAGAATTTTTGTTCAGGCTGCATCACCATTAGTTGACATTTTTGAGTATTTCTGTAGATAACAAATTATTGTGGCCTAAACAATAAGCAAAACAAAAGAAGCTTAGGACTTAATATGTTAAATTCTTCATTGCACTTATAATTATATATTTATTAACTTTTATTTAGCACAACATATACGTTCAAAGAACATGGACGATATGGGTGGAATTTGTCTGCCGAGGAAATATGTTCAAATATTTATTTAATTAATAATCCATCGAATGCTTATTTTCGTAAGCTATAGATATATATTTTTACTTAAGAAAAAAATCTCTTTAACATATTATTTCTGCTTTTATAAATAATTATTTTATTTAAGTTAATAAAAATGTTATTTTCCAGCATTAATAGCAGCATTGTTGTTATTAATTATATCAATAATTGTAATACAAATAGGAAAAGTTATTCTGAGAGCTATAAAACATTATTTTCGGTACGATGGAATGTATCTTCATGATGTAAGTACATAAAATACATATATTAATAATAAGATGTACACACAAATCTTTTTTTAAATAATATCATATTATTTTTTAAATATGTTATTATTATTCTAAAGGATTTATCAGTCTTACAAGAATCTGAAAGACAAATTCAACCAGCAATAAATGTAACTCGATTAAGTACAAGAGTCCAGTCAGTTGATACATTTAGAGGGTAATGATTTTTTCTCTGAACTTGAATTTATTTTATATATATTCTAATATTATTTTGTCTTTACAATAAAATATTCATATCTTTCTTTCTAGTATTGCAATACTGCTAATGATATTTGTTAATAATGGAGGAGGAGAATATGTATTTTTCAATCATAGTGCTTGGTTTGGTCTTACTGTTGCTGACTTGGTGCTTCCTTGGTAAATTATTATTAATTAATTTTTTTTCATATGATTAAATCACATATAAGTTTATATTACAGGTTTGCATGGATAATGGGTTTGACAATAGCAATATCAAAGAGAGGAGAATTTCGTCATATGTCTTCACGAACAAAAATAATTATGCGTAATTTTACCAGAACGTTAATGTTAATATTAATTGGTTTAATGATTAATTCTCGAAAAATATTTACAAATTTCCATGGAAAAAGTTACTATTTAGAAAATCTCCGTTTTCCTGGCGTTCTACAACTTTTGGCAATTTCGTATTTTGTCTGTACTGTATTGGAAACGCTATTTATGAGAACGCCTATTTCGGTTCGTTTATTTTATTTATTATAAACAAATATTTTATACATATTGTACAATGGAAATAATGAAAAAATAATACTTTTAAATTGATTATTGCAGGTTGGACGATTTTCCATTTTAGAAGATATTTTAAACAATTGGATTCAATGGTGTATCATTCTAGCTATTGTTGCCACTCACACTTTAATAACTTTTCTCTTGCCAGTCCCAAATTGTCCAAAAGGATATTTTGGACCAGGAGGATATGATACTTTTCAAAAATATACAAATTGTACTGGCGGTGCAGCTGGTTATATTGATAGATATGTTTTTGGCAAGCATATGTATAATAATACAAAGAATCTTGTGTATGGAAATATATTACAGCATGATCCTGAAGGCATGTTATTATTCATTCAAAAAAAAAAAATGTTTTTTTAATATATACATTATATATGTTTAAAATCATATTTTTCAGGAATAATGAATACTATCTCAGCAATATTTATCGTTTACTTGGGAGTTCAAGCTGGACATATTTTACTATATTATTATCAATGTAAATCTAAAATTTTAAGATGGTTGTTATGGTCATTGGTTACGGTAAATAATTTGTCTATGTTATGCGTCTTTTTATTAATGAAAAAAATGAAAGGGTGTGGTAAACAAACAAATATTATATAATTATATTAATTTAGGGTATCATCGCTGGATTTTTATGCAATTTTAGTCTAGTAGATGGTGTAATACCAGTTAGCAAAAAAATGATGACACTTTCGTTTGTATTGACAACAAGCAGCTTTGCTTTCCTTTTATTTGCTATCTTATATTATTTAATTGACTATAAGCAATTTTTCACTGGAGCACCGTTCGTATATGCAGGTTTGTGAACAATAAAATTTATTTATAGTTTTAAACATTTATATTTTTTTTGTAATTCAAATGCATTTCCGTCTGCTTACATATATTTATTCTTATACAGGAACTAATTCAATATTTCTTTATGTTGGTCATTATATTACAATGGGATTATTTCCTTGGTCATGGAGAGAAAATAATCCAACACATTCAGTTCAACTTATTATAAATCTATGGACAACAGTGTTGTGGACATTCATTTCATACGTACTTTACAAAAAAGAAATTGTAATTACAGTTTAAATTTTTGAAAGAAATGTAATATATACATTAAGTATAATTATTTTCTTATATATATTCTTTTTTATATATATTCAAAAAATATCTATATTAGTTCATTTAATATTTAGATAATTTGATATTTTATATTATAAAATTTTATATATTTTCAATTATAAGAAATGACACTATATTATTATTTAACAAAACAATATAAGTGTCATTGTAATAAGACACACAGAGAGAATACTATTTACTTACAATGTTAGAGATTGTTCTAGTTTAATAAATAATAATATTTGATTTTCTCAAAGTTATATAATATATATATATATAATATAAATAAATATAAAATATGATACTTTATTATTAAGGCTGTTGTGCGATCTTCCCGAGATATAAATATCGAATTAAGCGTTTAAGTCATTGAACGTACCAGAAACAATTTTTAATCGATTGTAATGAATAAAATCTCATTTAAAAGATGAAGATTCAAAAATTTAAACGAATTTTTTGAATTTTTAGAAAAGTTTTCAAATAAACAGTATTTTTTGAAATTATTTTGTTCACAGAAAATAAATGTATAATAAATAATTAGAAAAAAAAAAAATATATATATATATACATATTCGAATCTCTTACTATAAACATTATTAAAATACTAATACATTGTTTACAATAAATTTATTTTTTTTCATTATATTATTCTTTATGTATATAAAAAAAATCTCGATCCTTTGGTTCTTCAAAAGGAAGTCCAAGTATTTTTAAAATATCTTCTTCACATGTGATTTTCTCAGCTTCTCCTGGAATACCTGAAATAAGGATTATTATTCAATTTTTTATTATATACAATAGAAACAATTTTATTAACAAATAATATCTTTTTCTGTAAGTCGTTTTAATGTATATTCATTTAATGTATATTCATTTAATGTATACTTTTTTTCCAACGCATAAGCCCTTATATTCTTATTAAAAAGATCACTACCAATATAATGAAGCATAGCACAATAATATTGATCATATGGTATCCATCTTATGTCCAAACGTCTGAATAATTCACTTTTATCATTTGACACACGACAAACACCCTAAAATGTTAAATTAACGAATCATTAATAATTGTATCAAATGAAAAATCTAAGTATATTACCATAAATTTTGTTGGTCCAATAGATATTTTATCTGTAATTAAATGTTTTTTTCAAGATATTCAACAATATTTTTAAGCATATCACTATTCTTTTTCTTCGGAAATATAATCTGGATGAGTTATCACTGCATCCATATCCCAGCTGTCTTCTTTACCACGTCTATAACATCCACATATATTAATAATGTATTCTTCACTCAATTCATAAATATACTTCTTTAACAATTTTTCAATTTCAGCTATTTCTGTTCTAGGTACCTTTTTGTCAAAATCATCAAAATACCTGGAAAAGAAAATGTAATCCATAAATTTTTGTAAGAGTAATGGTAGACAAACAAAGTTTATCAATAATACTTTAAATCAAGTTGTTGATAATTATTCAATAATTTCCAGTGTTCTTTTAAATCATCCAAATTTTTAATTCCAAGCTTGATTAAACATTTTGCTTTAGCAAGACCAATACCAGAAACACGAGTGTTAACACACTCATTGCAATATTATCATCATTTTTATTAATCTACAACGAAATAATGATCAACATCCATATTATAGAAGTATAATAGAAATATGTTGCAATATATTTACTTCTTTTAGTTTGCGTAATTTTCCAGTTTGAAGAAATTCGTCTATCTTTTGAGATATGTGTCTTCCTATTCCTGGCAACTTTCTAGCTTCTTTTTCACTCTTGACTCTGTCACTTAAAGTACTCAAGCTAGTAGCTCCTTTACGATAAGCACTATATTTGTATATAAAGTAAACATATGTTTTTATTTACCACTTTCTAATCATAAAAAATAAATAACAAGAGATAATTGTATTTATATAGACATAGAATTATTATAAATGCATTTAAATGCAAAAGATAGATTCATTATTATTTAAAAAATAATCTTGCTATATATGATAGATCAATTAAAATTTATAATGTTAATGTTTTGATATTTGCGTATATGCACATTTTTAAATATATTTATTTATATAGATATATTTTCGGTTTGTGTGTTGATTATTGAATTTTTATTATGTATTTAAATATAATTTTATATACAGCAACATTTGTTAAATTATTTATATAAGAAAAATATTAATCGATATAATTTTCTTAGCATTGCATAAGCTATGTCTAGTGTTTTACACAAATGCATAATAACGAATGTGCATAACACTGATACAGGCACATATGTATGTGTTATATAATAAAGGAATTTTGGGAAACTTTTTATAGATACATTAAATTAAATAAAAATCTTAATAGTTAAAACTATTAGAAAAAAGACAGAGCATCAATATTTATATAATTTCCATTAAATTTTGTTTTAAATATCCAATGTGGATGATAGAACAATCACATTACTTGGACGGATTACTGTCGCACTAAATAAGAATTAATCAAATTTTTGAATATTAACGATTTATGATTTACTGTACTGCGAAATGGTGGGTATACGATTATATGTTGTATGAGTCTTGAAGCAACAGCTGCATATACAAGAACACATTAAAAATAATATCATTAGTATTATAATAAAAATATAAGTCTTCAGCTGCAACAACCTATTTGGCAACCATAGAATTGTAAATTGCACTATTTTTTCTTGAGTATCTGTAATAATAATATAATTATATATATATATATAAATATATACACACTAAAAACAACTCATTAGGAAATAAAAATAAAAATATATTATTTATTTTTATACCAATATAAGCAATTCCATAACCCATATTACGAGTGCCCATTCTATAAGAGCATGTTGGTATTTGAACTTCATGGATATCACCTACATCCATTCTTAATTGATAAAGAGGTGTCTCGTCAGGTGGAAGAACCCAAATTTCACTTAATTGATCAGTCATCGTATCCAAACTAATGTGCAACGCTTTATGTTCATGTGCAGTAAAAATAATTTGTGGTGATAACTCTTTGATCATCTACAATGAAAAAATAAATAAAAAACATCATCGTCGTTGTCGCCGTTTTCGTTATCATCATCATCATTGAGTATCTCTTATAAACGTATATATAGACATACATTTTGTACAAAACTTCCTGGCATAAATAATAATGGTATATGACTAAGTACAACATTGGTTGTATTTCTTTCAGCATAATCATTAAGAAATGCATCCTTAGGAGCTTCTGGTATAAACTGAGTCAATCTGTTAACCTAAACAAAAACAAAAATAAGAAACAAACAAAAAATATATATTTATTAAAAAATAAAATGAGTTTAATGAAAATCGAATAGCTTAAAAAATCTGCTTATTAAAGGTATGTTACCTTAAAAAATGTAACACGTTTATAAACTAACACGTCGGGCTGAGTGTACGCATAATGAAATCTGTTATGAATATTCATTGAAACCTTATTTTCTTCTCCTCCGATATCATTGTCACCAGGTAAATAGATTTTCTAATTAATGTCAAGTAAATTGGATAAAATATTAATCAAAGCGATGTAAAATATATCATTCAGATAAATGAAATAGATCATTAATCATAAATCATTTTGTAAAACTACAATACCATTATATCATCAGAAGTTTGAAATATATAATCCAATCTTTTTTTATATGTATTAAATTTTTCTGCGTCAGAGATGTGGCCTTCATCCATGAGATCACCAAGAAATACTATAACATTTGGTTGAGAGTATTTTAAAACTCTTGAGAAGGTTTTTTCTAAGTACCTGTAAATAATACACTGTGGAACAAAACCGAGATCAATTTTAACATTTCATGAAATGTTTAAAAAATGTAAATATATATATCTAAATGTATATTGGGTATCCAACGTTTAACTGGGCAATTAATGTTAGTGTATTCTAATTATTCTATTTAGTGTTATACTTACCTATCGCTATCCCATCTTGCTGCCCATGAGCCCATATAATTCTCATTTTTCTCTCCTAATATTTGCGGATCCGCTACTAAAAGTACTTTAACGCAATCTGTACAATCTGGCAAAGTCCATTTAAATTTTTGTATCTCATATTCAAGATATTCATTATAAATAATAGTGATAAATATAATGGTACTGATACAAATTATTTTATGTTTCAATCTAAGTAATAAATTTTCATTATTATTATTATTATTATTATTATTATTATTATTATTATTATTATTATTATTATATATTACCATTTATCTATTTATAAAATAAATAATAAAAAATCTATAAGAGTAATATTTCAATTCTTTGGTAATTAAATATACAAAATTTAATATCTAATTATTAAATTTAATCATCAATTTATTAAATTGGATTAAAAATAATAATAATCTATTCAGTTATATAATTACCTATTTCGCCTCAACATTTTAATGTTTTTTATTTTATTTTTTTTTTTTTTTAATATCAACACTTCTAAATTTATAATTCTGATATAAATGAACTAATTTCCAATATTCTCATATCATTGTTAATTTGAATAATTATTTAAGTACATTTTAATGTTCCCAGAATTTTAATTAGAGAATAATAGAATTTATATATACACTTTTATATGTTACATATATTAGGATTACAACCCTCTTTCACTGAAGAGTAAGCTGTAGGGTTTCCAGATTAGAGGGTAAATACCATTTCTTGATAGTTTAAGTACGTATTTTCAAATGCAGATGGCGCAATATTAGTTCTATATTTTTTTTACTACAGGCATATATAGTATCTTTATACTACCAGAAGATTTAGATTCATTCACGTGTGTTTTAAAGAAGTGTATTCGTACTTTGCAATTTATTATTTGTAATAAAATAAAAAGGTCTTCTTTTCATTTATATAAAATAAATATAAATAAAACAAGTCAAGATGGCAGAATTTGTTGAAAAACGATGCGAGGATATGATCCCTGAATTGGAACAAATGGAAAGGATAAAACTTTTTGACATAAACGAAATTCGGTATGTCCATGATATTCAATACATTGATGTTTATTTTTTATATAAAAATACAAATAAAATTTAGCCTATGTAATGTTAATGTTAACGTTGATTTTACATAACCTTCATAAAATCACTTTTTACAATAATCTTTATAACAAAATTTTATTTTTTATTATTTCAACAGAAGTATAGCAAAAAAACTCAAAGAATTTGAATACAAAATTCAACGACATGTAAAATGTAAAGAGGATTATTTGCGATACATTCAATATGAAATGGATCTCCTAAAACTAATTAAACAACGTAGAGATGTAAGTGATTTTTTCTATTTTTTTCTCTTATTATCATAGTAATGTAGTAGCCTAATATATTTTACTTAAATCTATTATTTTATTTGATAGAAATATGCCATTACTCATAAAAAATCTGATATCGACAATGCAATTAAAAATAAAGTTAATCTTTTATACAAAGAAGCCATATCGAAGTTCCAAGAAGATGTTAGATTTTGGATTGCATATCTTAAATTTTGTAAACACATGGTAAGTCTATTTATTATATATGATAAGTAAATTAGAAATAGATTAAATTGTATTAACCATAATGCGATTGTTTTGATCAGCGTTTTCAAAATAGTGGTAAAAAAACAATAGTTAAAATGTTACAAGTGCATCAAGATAAACCTAAATGTTGGCATATAGCAGCACGCTGGGAAATTGAAGAAAATAAAAAAATAGATACTGCTCGTCAATTAATACTTCGTGGTTTACATTTTCATCCAAATTCACAAATATTACTAATCGATATTTTCAGGTAAATATAAATAAATATTAATTAATATTAATTTAATTTTAGATAAGAGTAATATATTCAGCTTGCTTATAGATTAGAATTAGATGAAACATTAAAAAATACTGAAAATAATGAAAACGAAATGCAAAGTTCCCCGTCTAAAAAAGATGATGATGATATGCCTGTACCGTTGAAAAAAGATGATGATGATATGCCTGTACCGTTGAAAAAAGATGATGATGATATGCCTGTACCATTGAAAAAAGCTTATGTTATATATAAAGCAGCGAAAGAATCCGTTGAAGATATTAAATTTATTGTAGAATTACTTAATATAGCAAAAGAATATAAGGCAGAACAATTGGAAAAGAAAATTGTTAGGTAAATTTTATTTTGTTATAAATTTATAGACAATGACTTAGAGAGAGAGAGAATTAGATTATGATTTATTTGATCTAAAATATCTATATATTTTAGTGACATGATTCAACAATATGCACATGAACCTTTAATGTGGGATACAATGGCACGTCGTGAATTGGAAGGACTTGTACAACCATTTGTGTTTGACGAATCTATAATGGAAATTGATTCCTCGGAGCAGTCTACTTTAAGAGATCGTATAATTTTTTGTAACAAGGTTTATCAAACAGCAGTAAAAAAAATTAAAACTGAAGAAATGTGGTCCTTTTATATAGAATGCTTATTAGAAATAAATCAAGATACAGAAAACTTGCCAAATTTAAAAAAAAAATTATTACAAAATGCTTTGACGCAGGGACATCAAGCTAAAAAATTAAAAGAAAAATATTATTTACATTGGGTGAGTATATATTGGGGTACTTATATATATATAAGTAGAAAGTTGTATTAATTATATAATACTAACAATAAGTAAAATCTATATTTGAATAATAATAAATGATTTTATTCTAGATTGATATGTTGAGTAATGATATTAAAGATGAGAATGCGCCAAAAAAATTAGAGGAAATTCTTTCCTCTGCTACTGAGAATATTCCTGATTGCGTTTCTCTTTGGCATATTAGATTAAAACATTTATTTATTACAAAACAGGAAGAAGAAGCTGATTCTGTATTTGCAAAAGTATAATATTTTTTTATTTTTATTTATTATTTTAAACGATGGTATATGAAAAATATTTTTAAAAACTTGTTTCTTTTTACACAGGCAATACAAATTCTTGGCGAAAAATCATTATCTTTGTGGAGAATGAAGCTTTTACATGCGCAAGTTACAAATCCCAATAAAATTGAAGAAATTTTTCAAGCTGCAGTACAAGAACCTCTTGAAATTTCTAAAGATATGAAACCTAGTTATATCGAATGGGTGGTTTTAACCAAAAGTATTTATTCTAATATTAATTTCCTCATTTCTAATATTGATTTGATAATAATTAAATATTTATATCATTTAATATATTATTTTAGGTATTCAAGCTGCTCGGAAGATATACGAAAGTCTTTGCTTACAACCACCCATGTGTCTTGAATTACATCAAAAAATGGCCGATTTAGAACTTATGCAACCAGAAATTGTATTAAAACATGCAAGACGTCCTTATGAAATGGCCACTTTACAATTTGGTAAAACTAATCCTAAGATTTGGATAGATTATATCATATTTGAAATGAAACATGGAGAAGCAAAAAAAGTTGGAAAGATACACAGACGAGCAGTTAAAACTTTAGATGCAGCTTTGACCGATACATTTATTACTGAATACGCTTTAATCAAAGCTAATCCTGATTCAATAAAATTAGTATCTTGAAACATAAGATATGTCAAAATTAATTTTTTATGTGTTATATAATTAAGAAATGTATAAATAATCAACATGTAAGATCCAAATTTATGATTCCAATGGTATTTCTTTCTCCATACGAGTCAATATAATATTACGATCTGTTTCATTGGGTAATCTTGTTCTATCGCCAGTTTTCAATGTTGATCTCATGTCCAAACACATGATATCTGTTGAGAGCGAATGCTGTTTATCTTCTAAATTTCTATCAATTCGTAGAAGCAAAGATTCTAAACCATTATATGTTGCTCTATAAAAAGAAAAGAAAAATTTTATAGAATTAAAAATCTCTCGAGATATATTCGTTAATAATAAAGTATTTATAGATAAATATACATACTTTGCGTTGTCAATTGTTTTAGCTAATTCATTTTCAGTTTTTTTTAATTGTAAAACTTCATTTCTTAACCCGATTTGTGTTTCATCTTCGCACAATTCAAAACCAGGACGGTAGCTACGATTTTCTAATCTTGTTTCGGCACATTTTATTGCGTCTGTTTTATGTAAAAATTCGCCTTCTAAACGTATTATTTCTTTATGTAAATTTTCCATTTCTTTGTGCATCTGTAATGTTGATGTTAAATTTATATTAATTTATAAATGCGAAAAGAAAGTTATATGTTGGATTTCATTCATATACCTTTAATTTCTGCCATTCAAGTTCGTTTCGAGCTTTTTGAGTTTGATATATTCGTTTTCTTAAAGCAAAATCAGTAACATCTTGTTGAGCTTTTATATCGTTCCTAGCACGTTCTCGCATAACTTGCATACCTTCTCGAAAGCTATATACGTCGCTTAATTCATTATCAGCCAAGATTTTCAAATTATTACAATTTTCTATCCAACCTTCGTAAGATATCTCACTATAATACAATGAATATGTATATTTATTACACAAATCATAAATTTCATCAATTTAATAATATACTTACTTTTTTGATTTTTTCAAAGCATTTGGTTTATAACTAATATTAGCACAAGTACGATCCAATTCGAGATTTTCTTTATCAATTCTAGTAGTCTCATTTTTATCTTCGATATCTAAACTTATTTTAAATTTAACTTCTTCCAAACAATTTAATTTTTCCCATGCAGCTTGCACCCTGTTATAAATCTTTTAAAGTAATCCTTATGCATATATTATATAGTATAATAAAAATTGATAAACATTTACTTATCGGTTAAAAAAGCTTTAATATTTTCGATAACACAAAGTTCTTTTTTTAATTCCGTATCTGCCTCGTCATAAGTAAGTTCAGTTCCTCTACGACAATCTCTCATTGAAATACATTCAGCAGTAATTTGTAAAGGATAATTTAATATATCTATTTCTTTTTCAGTGTCTGCTTTCTCATCTTTTAAAAAACGTATTTCTGAGAGCAATCTTTCTAGTAAATGTTCAAATAATTCTTTCCATCTGGAGAGTTCTGTTATCCTATTATAGAACATTACATTTAATTATTATACTTCAGTAATGTATATCATTTTTTAAAAAGAATTTTCACCTATCTGCTAATCGGACATTATTCATATATGTATTCCATTCTGTTTTAACTCTTGTTTCGGATCGAGTAATCCTTCCTGAGCTACGCAATTCAAATGCATCTGATGTTCTACTTCCTACACTTTGCTGAAGTTCCCATTGCTTAGCATACCAATCGGCTAATCCTTTTTAAATAAATCATCTTTAAATTATTTTCATTTCTAAACTTTTGTTTATACATACCTATATGTGATACTGGTTTCTCATAAACAGTTACAGATTTAGCCATTATGAAATAAAATTTATTTTTTAATTCAATCGAATTACCAGTAGAACAATTCAATAAACTTGAACAATATGGAAATTTAAATAATCATTAGAAGAAAGGATTCAATATAAGGTCGTTTCTATGACGATATATATACTTATATATATTAAATAACTTCGACATATCGATCAAAGCAGAAATGAAATTTGAAATTGGCGCGATTTTATGAATCCAATCTGCTAATTACGTTTGTTAACGCCGATAGCGCCTTATCATGGAAACATAAGAATTAATCAGACAGACGCAGTAAAGAAGCAAATGTACGTGTGACGCACTATTATCTACATAGTATTTTTCTATGTTACCTTGAATTGTGTGAAAATAATATTGTGCATCTATAATTATAAACTGATCATATAGTAGAAGAAAAATATTATAAATTAATGTTGCCATCATACAATCATACTCGTCTTTGTATGATAAAACTGGAAGATTAATAAGGCAGGTAGAATGAAAAATTTGAATGGAAAAGGAGAACATAAATCTCTCCTTGCAATCAACCAATTTAGTTGTGTAAATTGATGTATGATCGTCAATATGGTGACGATCTGTTAGGATTAATCAAATATTTAGACAGTACAGAACATACTTTCATAAATAACAATTATCCAATTAATACGACTTATCACGGATGGCGGGTAAATAGTAATATATCGAATTATCAATTAAAGATATTATTATAAATAATACAATAAATATAACAACAAATAAATTACTTAAATAATTTCATGTATTTCATATAAGAAGAATTAATATAATCCTATACGTAAGAGAGATGAAACAAAACTAAATATTTGTTGCGTATCGGCTCATGACATCATCCCCTCACAAGAACGTGATGCAGATTTCTTCGCGATGTCTCCGTTTATAGATGTTATTTTTATAATTTGTAATCCTACGTATAGTCAGATATTCGAAACAACTAAAGTAATAGTAATAGAAAAAATAAAGCAGAAAGTCAATAATTGCAAATAATCCGATTTTAGGAGATTTCAATGAAATTTTATTTATTTGCATAAAAGCCGAATGAATGAAAATTATATACTCTTAAAATAAGCAACTTAATTAAAAATTAATACGAAGAACCTAAATTTTATATATATTTTATCTTTCTCTTCATTTATTTATTATAATATTTGATATATTGCCAATCGCCTATTGTGAAAAGCCGCATATTATATGTGTTCAGAATGAATGGTAACGTAACCATTAATTCCAACTGAACAGGATATACCGATCCCAAAAATTCCTCATCCAAACCTATAAATGATGAAGTCTCAACTTTCATTGGTTGAACCAAATTTGTCCAATATTTTATTGGCCCCTATGAAGTGCATTTTTCGAAGAAATAGGGATACTTTATAGTTTAACACGTGTACTTATACTATATGTCCTTTTCCAATCACTCTGACTATACCACCAATAGTACTATAATCTTTTATGGTAGTAAATTTAACTAGTTAGTTTGAAATATCTGAATATCCATACAAGGTCAACGCTTCATTAGCTTCTCTCGGACTAGTCTAATATTCTTCAAGGAAGTTTCGACATCTCTGATATTTCTTCAATTGTAAGCTTCATTTTTTTCTTCCTTTTTTCCCCTTTTATATCCATTTGGTGCTATAAGACGCCAAATTAGTTCGATCATTTCAATGTTTAAAATAATATTTTTTTATACAGTAACTATAGCAATTTTAGCGTTTAGTTGATGAACATACTAAATTAAAATCAAAGTTCTTTTATAAAATAATTATTAAATTTATTTAATTTGATGAAATAATTCATAATTTTTTATTAGGAGGATCCATTTCTAGAGAATTCTAAAAAAATAATCCCTAGATACACGGTAGATGCACTCGTAAGATTCTAATTTAGAAAAAATGTTAGTTAACAAAGCTTTCTTTAATTTATTTCAATTCATTCTCCAAGAGACACGATCAACAGAAATAATATCCAGTCATCGTAGCCTTTAAAATATTTATATAGTTATTTATAATATCGTACACTTTGTAGTGATAAGATTTAGAGTCAACCTTTTCTTCTTTTTTCTTCTCTTCTTTCTTACATTTCGATAACTTGACCCATTAATATAACTTCAAAGTTACATGGAATTATACATCCAAAGATTAATAAGGTTTAACAAATCTGAAGATGTATGAACCTATACTTTTCGATTTTATCGTAACAAAATTAATTTTGTATTTAAAGATTAATATATGCTAAATATATTTAAGTTAGATTATAAGGTTCATATTACATTATTTAATTTCAATGCAAGAACAAAATTTTTATTCTAGAGGGTTAATGAAAAACGAAAAAAAATGTAAAACTCAAATGGTCGTTTTTTTATTATCTGTAATTACTTTGTACGAGTACTGCGTATGTAATTTTGCAGATCTTGTGATCTAGGTTTCAATAGAATTCTTTATTTATAGACTTCATTATTACATCTATCAATAGAACAGTTTTTTCCGAAAATATTAAACAAAGATCGGTACGTACTTGTTTAACTTTGGATAAGTCTTGTTACAATTGTTATTCTTTTTATATTCATTTGAAGATACTGTATTAAAGATAATATTAGATATATTTAGAAATTTTTAATAAGTAGTGAAGTTGCATCTAAATCCTTTTTTTTACTTCTAGTATAGTTAGTATAGTTATATAGTAACTATACTAGAATTATTATGTAGTACTATAATAGTAGTAGTATAGTTTCATGAAATAAAAATTACATAATATAAACGAATTAGTTAAATAATAACTGTGCATAAGTATAGATCAATGGTTTATGATCAGTTTTTATAGTAAAACGCAATTACTGTATTTATTGGTTAGTAACAAGAGAACTTCGTTAGAAGATAAAAAGGAAGAGACAATTGTTGGTCAGAAATTCTTAGTCTATATTGAAGTTATTATTTGAAAATTCAATTATTATTAATTGAAATCAACAAAGCATATTAAGAACTTCTAGTTTGTTTGTTGTAAAAGTCTTTAAATTTGTTAGGTTCATAAGTTTTTGTCTTATATATCTATTCCTAATATCAGTTACGTCACAAGACTCTGATCAACTTGGTTTGTTTCATGAACTATACATTGAAAGAAACAATAGATTAATAGAACTTTAGTGTCCTTAACGTAAATTACAAGTCATTTAGCTTGTGAGTTAGTCAATTCTGTTTTACATAATTTATTCTGGCTCATAGACTTCTGTATATATCAAATGCTAGATTGCCAAAAGTTAAATGTATTGAAATCATCAATTAAACTAATAGAGATATTTATAAAATAACAAAAAAGTACATTTTTTAATATATTTTTTTCATTTTCATTTTCTCTACTAATGGCGACTAACTGATGTGTATTGTTAGCTTCATCTTTTTATCATTTTCTTCCAATGAATCTTATCATTATATATATTTAAAAAAAATAGTTCAAATATGTGTGCTGCATGACCAAGCTTAGCAAACAAAACAATAGAAGCAAGAAATAAAAGAAATATCACTTGACTACTACGTTAACGTGGCATGTCGTAATTCGGCATCGGAATTCAACATTCGTTTATAGCTTTAGATGGATTTGTCCAATTTTATTGTCCATTGGAATAGCGCTAAATTTGAATAGCGTTTATCATTTATTTTCGAGATATGGAGATCGTTTTTATAAAGTTTAATCGTTAACAAAATTCCATTTCTATCGATAATAATTTATTATGTTGAAATGTTTAGTTTGAATCATATCTAAAGAAAAGAATTATTTTTCATAGTAACGTGAAATTACGTTTGGAAACTTATGGCTGTAAGGTATATCAGAGCCAATGTTTTAATACATTATGCTAGTACTTCAAACGCGAAAGACAAAAAACAATTTTGAATGATTCAATAGAAGATCGCAACTAGTAGGAGTCGTAACATAAAATATGATCAGGACGATGTATTTAAAGAAAGAAAATGCATTAACATCTTTTTTTTTTATATTAATCAGCATCATTCTCTTTACAATGAGTTTCGTAAACAAAACATATTTCTTTAGTTAAATTCTTTTCTAATTATAAGTAATAAATAAGTAACGGATCGTGTCTCTTGGTGCGGTTTTATAGCGATGGTAGTGTGGGATTGGTGGCGGAGAGTTGGTGGTGGTGATGATAGTGGCGATAGTGGTGAAATAATAGAGGTGGTAAAAGAAAAGGGCGGTAAAGCATAGTAAAATATTGTGACGCATGTAAAGCGTTAAAAAAACGTAGTATATTTATCCAAATTCTTGACTAAGCGGTGTTTTTGCAGTTGGAATTAAACTGTTGACGGATTAGTATGCGAAGACTCAGCATGCGAACGAAACGCAAGAAGTCAGAGAGAAACAGTGAAAGCGAAACTGAAGAAAATGGCGACGAATCATCGAAACAAAACGATATGTCAAATAGCGAAATTAGTAACGATGAAAATAATAAAAAAGATAAAGAAAATGAATCTGAAGAGAACGAGGATCTGAATAATACCCCCAATCGAAAATCGGGCGGAAAGAAGCAGCGCCTTTCAAGAACGCGTCATACCGAAGAACAAAAAACGGCATCACCAACAAACAGCAAACAAGCGTCGAAAACGAAAAAGCAGTTGGAAGATTCCGATGATATGAAGACCAATACAGATCAAGAAAATGGTGCTGTAAATAGACGTGGAGCTAATAAAAGACGTAAAAAAGATGAACAAAAAGAATCACCTACGTCTAGTCGTGGTGCAGTTAGCGGTGAAGAGGAGTATGAGGTACTTTTACTTATATACCAGTTAGAGCAATGGCGTGCCGGTCGATTCTCCCGCCTAACGAATATTATTATTTCGAACGGCGTAGATTCTTTCTCTTTTCTTTTCTTTTTATATATAAATAAATTGTATCAATTCTAGAATTCGATTTTTAGGTTGATAAGATCGTCGGTCATCGTACTATCAAAGGTAGACGACAATTCCTTATTAGGTGGAAAGGATATGGAAAAGAGTCTGATTCTTGGGAACAAGAGAAGGATTTAAATTGTCCTAAACTTATCGAAAATTTTCTCCTGGATGAAAATGAAAGTGAAGAAACTATATCAGAGAAAACTACTAAACCGAGTAAAACCAAGTCAGTTAAAGCAGATAAAAAGAAAGAGATGAAAAAATCTAAAGATAACAAAAGACAATCCACTATGTCTGAAGGTTTGCTTTATTCTTTTTTATTTCTTTACGAAAATCTATTTAATAGCAAACACAAGTAGGGGACCTTAGAAACTGTTCTCTTTTTAAAATGTTTTTTCTTAAATACAGTAACTTATGTCATTTTCAAAAGAAACGGGGTTCATATATATATATATATATATATATATACACGCATACATATTTACTATAGATTATACTGTATTTTGCGGTGCTCAAAGTACACATATAATGTTTAATTACAGAAGAGGAACCGGATACTGACTCAATTAAAAATGATGAAAATCAAAAAGAGTTTGAAGTTGACAAAATAATAGAAGTACATTTTAGAAAAAATAAAAAGAGAGAATTCCTTATTCGTTGGAAGGGTTTTAGCGCTGCAGATGACACTTGGGAACCAGAAGAGAACTTAAATTGTCCTGATCTTATAAGTAAATTTATGGATAAAGTTGAAAAAGCAAAAACTACTCAAATGCGGGAATTAAGAACAAATCCTGCTCATACTAAACGTTATACATTATCGACACATGATTCAGGAAGAAGATTATCACGTCGACATATTGACAAACAAAGGTAAACTTTTTACCATTTTACATTTTTCTTCTTTTATGTTTTCAACTTTTTCCTGATTATGCATAAACTACTAATTTTTTACAGAGCTACATATTACGAGTGCTATGAATAAAAAGAAAGTTATGTACATTGATTACAATTTTGTCGTCGCTATTTTTTCGTCTTAATTTTTACATTTTTCTTTTGTTTCTCCTTTTTGTTTTATATCTTTTTTTAAAGAAGAAAAACAAATTACTTAAAAAAAATTCAATTCATATTTTTTTATTATAGTTGAATATACAATATATATATATATATATACATATATATACAATATACAATATATATATATATATTGTAACATATACTTTGCATCTTTCTAATTAGTTGTTAGAAGACTTATGTTATAATCAGAGTAAAATAATATATAATTAGATTATATAAATGTTTTATAACTAATTTATATATAATCTTCGTATATTTTGGTAGTTAATACTGAAGATAATATTAATTTTATGTTATCATGCATACAAATAACAATTTTTTGTCAATTGTAGAACAAAAAAATAAAGAAACACTATATTATACTTCAACGAGTTAAATACTGCGAAATAAACGACGATTAAATATTTTGATGTCAACCCAAAAAGAAACATTATATTAGAATTTTAAATGATTTAATTACATCATTCATTTTATGTATATGATATTGAAGAAAATATTCATGTATAAATACTAATAAAAACTTGAAAAAAAAACCATATTTATTACCCAATTTTAGTGGGCATTTTGTACAATTTCAGAAATTTATACATTGACGCGTATTCGTAATTAAATTTCAAATAATTCATAACACTTACTTTTTTACCTATTATTTTTTTTATTATCTAAAAGAATAATATTTAAATTTATAGTATTACATTTTCAATTTAAAAAATACTTTTATAATCTATTTACAAATTGAAAATTGATATTTTATTTCAAACAGCGGTAGTTTTTGAAACAAGTAATACAGAGACACATGGATTAATACCACATAACATTATATGGAAAATTTTAATTTAATTGATTATTAGTTATTATTATAAGTTGTTTTAGAAAAGTAAAATAAAATTTGAATTAAAAAAATCAATAAATGTACACATTTATAAATTCAATGATATTTTATTGAATCATTTACATACGCTCGCTTCTTTTCACTTCTTTTACTTGTAAGCCTAAAATAAATATAACAAATCTTAAAAACATATTTTCTTATTTAAATGAAGTAAGTTATTAACCCTGTATACATATGTATATATTTTACATACCTGGAGGCAAAGATTGCTTTAATTTCTCTGCCTTTTCTTTATCCGTAATGACAAGAGTATAAAGAAATCTCGAACAACGGACCTTAAATTTAACATTGTCTGCATTCTTCTTTATCTTGACAGCTATTAAAATCAAGTAGAAATTAAGTTGTAATACATTGTCGTTCACAAAAGATATTCTTTTAAAGCTAGTGTTTTTTAACACTTACATTTAGCATCCTTCCTTCTTGCCTTCAAAAGAAAATCTTTGATTTCTTTTATTTCACGTGGCTATAAAAAAGATGTGAAGTGTTATATTACATATAAATGATTAATACAATTAAATTGTTCAATTTATATACATAAATATAAATTGTTAGTGAATTAAAAAATAAAAAGTAAAATATGAACGTGCATAATATTGTGTAATATTGTGAGTATTAAATTTAATCAGAAGTTGTAAACAATCAATAAGTTCATGACTACTTCTACAAGATTTCATTTATATAAAAAAATAAAACACACACAATCAACTAATTCACTTTTAGAGAGTGATTTTTTTGTATAGACTTTTAAATATTAAAACATAAGAGTATTAATATTAATAAAAATTTACCATTTTGAATGTGTTTGATCAGCAACTCCTGAAACATTCAAAGAAATAACCTAGTTAGAAAAACATATTGAAATGACACTTACGCAATCTGCAATTATATATTTCTACATATATTAAAGTTACCAAATCAATAAAATGATACAGGATTATTTTCTAGAACACAGATTTTATTTCACTTGAATACGCGACTCACCTCACCTAAGTTAAACCGGAAAAAGAAATTTTCAGGAAGATCGAAACTCGTAGTCTAAGATTCGAAATAAATGTACTGCAGCACTCTCTACAAAAAATTGATGAACTCTCTATATGAAATAAAAACTGTCGATAAGTCTCTGTCCGTAAAAGATGCTTGTCGGTAATATCAATATAGAGGCCACGATCGAAGTATCTGCTTTTTGCGGCTGCTGTTAGATGACGCTCGATTTCTTGTCCAGAGGTAATCATATATATAAAAATGTAAAGTATCGCATGTAACATGATAAAGTTAAAGTTATATATCTTTGAAATGATTATCTGAGAGTAAACCAGTTAATAATTTTGATAATATTTATTTTAACACAATATCAATTATTTTTTACTTTTATACAGAATTAAACAAAACCCTACTATTAAGGTAAACTGAAGAACATACAATTTACGAGATAATACGTTAAATTAATGATTATTTTATTTCGAAGTTGATATTTAAATATCTCTCTTTTTATAGTATGACAGAGCACAATTTTCCTGTTTTACAAAATGATCGAATTCTCAAAACAATTCGTGGTGAACAAGTAGATAAAGTTCCTGTATGGATTATGAGACAAGCAGGACGTTATCTTCCAGAATTTCAAGAAGTTCGTGCGAAGCATGATTTCTTTGATGTTTGTCAAAATCCATCATTGGCATGCGAAGTAACATTACAACCTATTAAACGTTTTGATTTAGATGCAAGCATTATATTCTCTGACATTTTAACTATTCCACAAGCAATGGGTTTGACAGTTGAAATGGTTCCTAAAATTGTAAGAAATTTAGAGTATTAATTAATAATATATATATATTTTTTTTTTCATTAAAATGTTAATGTAATTTTGTAGGGACCGGTCTTACCTAATCCTTTAAACGATCCATCAGATTTATCAAGATTGATAAAACCCGAAGTAGAAAAAGATTTGAAATATGTTGGAGATGCTATAACATTAACCCGTCATAAACTAGAAGGAAAAGTTCCACTTATAGGATTTACTGGAGCACCTGTTAGTATTTAATTATATGTCTTACATACTACATTTATATATATGTCTATGTTCAATAATCATAGTATCATTTTAGTGGACGTTGATGGGTTATATGATTCAAGGTGGTGGTAGTTCTGTTATGGCTAAACCACGCACTTGGCTTTACAAATATCCAAATGAGTCACATAAACTGTTACAACTTATTACCGACGTAGTAATAGATTATTTGGTGATGCAAGTTAAAGCTGGTGCTCAGGTACAACTGAATAAACCGCTATATTGTTACGTAATATGCGATTATTGATTAATATTCAATATTATATTTTAGTTATTACAAGTTTTTGAAAGTAATGGAGATTATCTTAACGACGATCTATTTTCAAAATATTCTCTTCCATATCTTGTAAAAATAAGTAATGGAGTAAAGGCAAAGTTAAAGCAACAAAATATTACGCAAGTACCAATGGTAAAATTTGATCATTCAATTTCTTTTAAAAATTAAATAAATTGTTTTTAATATTTCAACGATTGCAACACAACTATCTTTTTCTAGATTGTTTTTCCTAAAGGTGCAACGATGAATTCTTTAGAAATGCTTGCCAAAACACAATGTTATGAAGTAATAGGTTTAGATTGGACTGTAGATCTACTGGAAGCAAGAAATCGACTAGGAACAAATATCACCTTACAAGGGAATATGGATCCATGCGCATTATTTGCAACTGCAGTAATTATATTCAAAAATTATTTTCTTTCTTATTTTATTCCATCCAAATAACTAAGATAAAACAGATTTTTTTACATATAAATACTTTTCATTATCAGGATAACGTTACTCATAGAGCTCAACAAATGGTAGAAGTAATTGGTAAAAGCAGATATATAGCAAATTTAGGTCATGGCATTCTACCAGATACACCAATCTCATCAGTTGAAGCTTTTATAAAAGGTATTCATGCTGTCTAAATATATGAGATGTGATGATGATGTATAATATATAATATATGTACATAAGTAACAAAAAAAATGAAAAATATACAATATATATGATCGCATTTATAATAAAAAAATTATACATTATATAATTATTGCATTTTCTTGAAAAAAAAAAGAAAAAAAAACCAAATCAGATTGGATCAAGCGAAAATATTGCAAATTCAAATTTCCCGCTGAGCGTATTGGTATAGCCAATCATAGGTAGTCATGTAATCTTAGCTGTTCGGATAGGTCAAATATAAAGTTAGCCGTAATCACGATGCCGCAGTTCTACCTTCAATTTTTCGCATGTTAGATGTATGACAGCAGCCTATTCTATCGTGTCAATGTATGAACCCTTAAAAAATAAAAAATATCATTATTGAATTTGTTGCAAAGGCGGTGAACAATATTAAATAAAAATTAAATACTCGAGTGGAGATTATTCCGAAATAATTTTGTTTATAATGGAGAGTCCTTTACCTCATATTGTTGAAAGTGCGGATTGTGATAGTACGATAAAACCGAAAGATAGGTTAGTCAATTTGTTGGATCAAATAGAATTACATGTAGAACAACTTCGGAAAGATGCCTGGAGGCTTGAAGAAGAAAAGGATACTTTATTAACTACTTTAGATACTATTAGAAATAACGAACTATTAAGTGCATTGGAAGAACGTGAGTATTATAAGTGCTATGATCTATGTTTTAAAGATACCTTTATCTGTCGAACATTCGAGTTGCATCTAGAGAATCTCTTTGAAACATTGCAAAGGTGTATGTATTAATTGTTGATAAGTGATTTATCAAATTACGCAAACTTTTTTTTATATTCCTTTTTTATATACGATATGTTTTGTTTATTTTAAATAATTATACAATAGCATTGATGGTTTTAAATGTTTTTTACAATATATGTAGGTATACGTTTTTTTTTTGTTCATTTAAATGTTATATTTTTTAATTATTAATTAAAATAGAATGAAACATTTTGTGAATTATTAATTGAAAAAAATGTTCATTTATAAATATTTAAATTAAACATTAATAGTAAGATATTTTTGCCCTTTTTAAGCAGCAGACAAAGATGACGTATTAAGATATGCCGAAAGATTATCCATGCGATGTTTAACTGTTGATGTTTTAGTAAAGATACAACGTGATAATGTTCAACAGGAGGCATTACATCAAGTATATTTCATTATAAATATATACGTATTTATAACATAATATAATAAATATATATATCACATTTAATAAACAATCATTATTTTTAAGGTAAATGGTTTAATAGATGGTTTAATTATTAGTCTCCGTCAAGACCCAAGTGGAACCAGACAAAAATGTGCAGCATTTATGAATGCTTGTTCATCTCAAGCAATGGGTCATTCAGATAAAAATTTTGAAACTGCCATCCTTGGATGTACTTTGGATGATCAAAAAAGAGTGAAGAAAAGACTACAAGGTTTATTGGATTATATTGATAAAATGCATACCATTGAATTTCACTAAAAGACCTATGATAAATAATATTATAATGTATATTGCGAATATATTGATTTATGCATTTTCGTAATATGTGTTTTTAGTAAAGTTCTAATATCGATAAATACGAGTATTAAAAATAAGATGTTTAAATAATCATTCTTTAATATGCATATGCAGCAGAACTCTATTATTTTTCTTTATATTTGCTATGATCACAACACACACTCATGCGTACACGCGGTCAACTTTTTGTGAGTTTAGCATCTATATTTTTATTTGTTACAAAAATTTTAACTATTTACATTATGTATAATAAGAAACAGAGTTTACATAGCCTATAATTACAAATGAATAGAATTGGTGGTGTATATATTATATATTACATAAAGTATAATATGTCAATGCACATGCCCTAAGATTGGACACCAACAATTCCATTCGATCTATAGAATTATTAATGACACATGTGATACTCAAAGAATTTTATAAAAAATTAATAGCACAGGCTTGGAGCTTCCTTACCTGCAACATTAATTATAAAATTATAATTATACGTGTAAAAACTTAAACAAAAAGAATAGAAAAAAAGAAACAATACAAGAGAAACAATATAAAAATGATTAAACAAATAAACATACAATATATTATTTCACTATAATCAGTTTTAAATGCCAACAAAAGGTTATTACATATACGTATATATATTTTATGTGCTTTTAGCTTACAATTAAGAATTAAAATAATATAAAAAGTAATTAATACTTTTTGTCGGATGTAACTTTAAAAAGGAAACATTTATTTGTACACGAATATGAAAAAAAAAAAAAAACAATCTTAATTGGGAAATTTTATTTTAATTTTGAAAAATATATTTTCGTATTAAATTTTTCGTATTTATTTTTAATTTAGGTTCTTTTTTATTTTTGTATTTTTTATCAAGCACATCAAATACAATATTCTTGATATTCTTTTAAATCGAGGGTAAACATTTAATACTATTTTCATAAGGTATATTTCGTCATCCGTAATTGTAATTTATTTTACAATTTTTATAAGACTTAATGTGGTGATTACCGGATACGTGGGTTAATTATTTTCTTAATTTAATCTTATTTTATCTAAGATTAAGTATATTAGAAAATCATTTTCTTAAGTAGTTTTTTACCCACGTAACTATATTTAAAAATATAATATTTATCAGTTAAAATAATTACTTAATATGAAATAAAGAAACTATAATTCCTTATCACAATATATTAATTCTTTATTAATGAACAAGCTGAAAATTGTTATTATTAGATACATATTTTCTAATATTATATAGTCTATAATGCTATTAATAACACATGTATTAAAACGAAATATAAAATTTATTTTAATTCCTATCTTTTTGTACTCCTTATTTAATATAATTAGAAAGTTTTTATACTTATATTGTTTCAATCATAATTATTATATAATACATTATCTTTTGATCGAATAAATTACGGAAAATAGAAAATGTGCGTATAGAATTAGTTAAAAGCAAATGGTCAACCATTTTAATACAAGTGTGTGATCTTATATATATAAATATATATATGTTTTAATTATTTTTAAATGTAAATATCTTTAGAATAAATATTTAAAATGATATAGTCAAAGATTATTTTTGTTTTTTTTTTTCATGCTCTACAAGTATATCGCAAAAAATATATATAATTTCGATTAAAAAAATGTCGATAACCTTGAAATCTCTTAAAAAAGTAATTTACAAAAAAAAAAGATTTCAACATTAGATTTTTCCTCTGCAATAGTGCAACTTTTTCTTTTGAATATTATTTTATGCGATTGTAAATAAAGAAGATATTTGGATGATATGGTTTAGCTGAGACACCCTGTATACATGCGCACGTTTTAATCCAAAACATTGCATTCTGGTTAGAGTGCTGTTCCACTCTTATTCTGTTACTGTACATTACACATGATTTTGATTGTATATTCTATTTTATTTTGTGATGTTTGTATAATCAAATAGCTTTTTTAAAGAGTTATCAATGTAAATAAAACTGTTTTATGTTAAAACTATTAAAGTTTGTTTTTTAAATTGGAGAGTTTTTGTGATGCCAAATGCATTAAGCTACTACGCATGCGTAGAAAAACGTAGTTTATTTTAATTTGTCATGTTTATTCTAATTAATTGTATATGAGAGCTTTTTTTATAAATCATACATTAGAGGTTAATACAAATTTGATATAATTAACACAAGTGTATTAAAGTAAATGCATAAATTATTATCAATATCTCAAAGAGATATTAATTAAATATTTAAAATGTGGTTATTAGAAACTGCTAAAGGTAATATTATACATCTTAATATATTATTACAATAAGTAAATCATATATATAAATCGAACAATGTATCAATTTTGATTTTAGGAAAACTCATCTATTTAAAACCAAACATTCCATTAACAATAGGAAGAACGAAAGGTGATATTGTTCTATCACACGATGCTTCGATAAGTAAATTTCATGCTTCTTTTGTAGTTAAGACTGAAATTCAAATTGTGGTAATCTATAGTATATTGAGAAATATATTTTTATTTTCTTTTTATAATAATTCTACCCAATTGCTTATTCACACTTGTATCATTTTTTAGAATGATAAAGCTACAACTTTATGCATACTTAAAGATGAAGGATCTAAATATGGAACATATATTTTAAAAGATGATGAATATGAAAAGATTTCAACAAATGTTCATTTAAAGGATCAAGATTCAATTAGAATTGGCCTACAATATGAAATATTTACGTAAAGCTTTCATATATGCATATCTTTTATTGTAATTCTAATATTTGAGATAATCAAATAGCATTGTTATTATTGTATTGTTTGACAGTGTTAAATATATTCCTATGATTACTTTAACGTCTGGATTAGAAGAAACGGGAAAGAAAAAACTTGAAAAAATAATGAAACAAATAGATGGTATTATTTTAAATAATTGGCAACAGCATTGTACACATTTAACGGCACTATGTCCAAAATTAACGGAAAAGGTTTCTAATTATTTTTCTTTCTTTCTTTGTCATATAACTTTTTTTATTTAAATCTCGATTTTATTTGATATGATATATTCAATGTATATTTTTTTATTATTAGGTAGCTATAGCATTAGCAGCTGGTATAGTTATAGTTACCATTGATTACTGGGAAGCAGTGAAATTTGCTATGGAAAATGATGAGCACCCAATTCCTAAACCTGATAATTATATACCACGCATAAAGGAGGAATATATTCCCAGGGGAATAGTTTCTCTTTATCCAAATGATAAACGGAAGAAATTGTTTAATAGAAAATCATTTTACTTTTATGATTTAAATCAATACGAGATGTATAAATTAATGATAAAATTAGCAGGTATTCATTTGATCAATTTATTCATTCGAATTAAACCAATTTATAATTAATGACACCTTGTGTTTTATAAATGATTTAGATGGAAAGGCATTTTTCATAGATTTGGAAATTAACCAGGATTTGGAGTTCGGAGAACATGCCTTTCATGTACAAATTAATAAAGACAGTGAAGACGCTATATTATCGAGAAATTTTAAGCGACACCACGATAATATATGCAAGTTGATTTTGATTTTGTTTGTATTTAAATAATTTCGATTATTTTATTAATTTGAATATTTTATTTTTAGTCTGGATGTTGAAACGTAAAAAGCAAAGATTTATACATGATTCTGAAATACCACTCGCTATTTTATATTGTTCTATCGAAAAGTACTGTAATCCAAAATATCAGTTTTCAAATATTTTTAAAAAAGAAAAAAAACTTGATTTTTTTTTACCTGAAACACTTGTAATGGATACACAAGATTTAGAAATGATGTCTGCACCAACACAAAGATCTTTCTATACAAAGCAAAAAGATGATAAGAAATCATCCAAATTTGTTGATAATATTGATAGATACACCGAAATATCTGCAACAGAAAAATCAGATGATGAAATATCAGAAATTCTATTATCAGATGATGAGGAAGTATCAATTATTACCGTACAACCCACTACTTCATTATCTTCAGTTCTACCAAAATTTACGGAATCAGAAGAAAGTAGTTCAAGTGATTTATTCATTGATCACGTTGAAGTTGGTGAAATTGCATCAAGTGAAGAGGAAGATACATCTACAGCAAAAGAATCTCAATCATTTGTCGGGCAAAAAGAAACTAAAATTACAGAAAACTTATCTACAATTAAAATATCAAGTAATAAATGCTTACAAAACGAGGTAAATTATTTTATTTTCTATGTGATATACATAAATTTTTTCTTTTTATTTAAAAATATTTAATGTTTCGTATAGAATACCACAGAGAGTGATATTACGTCAAATATATTTATACGTAAACGTCCAGTTGGAAAAACATTCCAAAAGGTTAGTGAATTAATGTATTTTATACAGAAATGTTACACAATTTTGAAATTATTATATATATATATACTACTTAATTATATATTTTTTAAAATTTATTTAGGCACATGTTAAAATACCTGAAAAGAGATTAAGATTTTAGCCACATATTAAGTTATTAAAAAGATTACAAAAGATTCTATTAATGTTTAAATAAACAATAATTTTGTTATAAGCATTTTGATAAATAAAGAAAAATTTTATTATTTTTTATACTAATCTGGAACATTTCGGACTAAACATTTTTACCCTTATGATTTTATAAAAGCTCACGCGTGTCGATTGAATTTAAGTCAGTTTATATTTGGCGGGCATCAAATCCACTAAGATAAGATGGCGTTGATGTCGTCTAATTTCAGATTAATAGAAATCATCAATAGTGTTGTATATCTCATGATATTCTAGTACAAAAAAAAAATATTGAAATGTGGTGTTTGTTGTTTATACGTGATACGTGATATACAAGAAACCTAATTTTTGTTTAATTACGACGTGATAATTAAAAATATTAAGAAATGGTAAATGTTTTGAAAGGAATTCTTGTAGAATGGTATGTAAATTAACACAATAAAGTACAAATAATAAAGTATGAAAGTTTTATACTTTTAATATTGTTTGTTTTTTTTTATGTATATAATTTAATTGTTTGTAAAATGAGACATTGTATGCAATTTAAATATTATTCTTTCCCAGTGATGCAGCTATGAAACAATTTCTTTTACATTTGGATGAAACCCTCGCTCTGGGAAGAAAGTTTATTATACAAGATCTGGATGAAAGGCATTTATTTATTTCTGTTGACATTTTAGAGACATTACAAGCCAAAGTGGATGATCTTATGGATCAAATATCATTTCCATTAGCTGAAAAAGGAATATAAATAATAATATAAATTAAAAAAAAAATAAATTTTATATAAGTTAATTAGTTATAAAATTAATATAAAAATGTCAGCAAGAGAATCAGGTAGGATAAAGGATGCTTATCAAAAAAGAGTCCTCGATGATGCTGCACGCAAACGTAGGCAAAAGAAAGCGCTGGAAGCTTTGGAGCAAGATAATTTTCATGATGATCCGCATGCTGATTTGGGTGAATTTTTTTAATGCTGTTTACCATATTCTATCATTTAACTTCTTAAAATGAATATAAGATTGTTTTCAGTAATGAGCAAGAAAGTACCCAAATTTCAAGAAACATTGGACAATAGAGGCGGTAGAAAAAAGAAAACCAGATCTGCGGAATATTATAAGCAACGTTTTCGTAAAACATTTGGTCAATTGGTCGAAGAAGATCTCAATGCGAATCCATCTCCACCTAATTATGTCTCTGCTCAAGCTCCTCCATCTCGTTTTCCTGAAAGACACTTTTGCTCAGTTTGTGGTTTTCCTAGTAATTATACATGCATCCCATGTGGAGCTAGATACTGCAGTGTCAAGTGTTTAGGTACGCATCTCGATACAAGATGTTTAAAATGGACAGCTTAGACTATTTACCTTTATTATTAGTCCTTACTGTAATATAAAGAAAATATAATTGAACATTTACAAAGAAATAATTAAAAATAATATTTTATATAAAAATTTATGACCCTTTTATAATATAAATTAAATTTTTATATAAATTTATGAATATTATAATAGGATTTAAAAAATACTAAACGTAATTATGCATAATATAATTATGTAATAATAAAAACCAAATCGTTCATATGAATATTATAATAATAAGATATTTTTGTGGGAAGTAATAAAACACAGAGTATTATTACTTTTAATATTTTATTTATAGTTCATGAAAATTTTGTTTTCTTAATTTTTTTTTCATAAGTTGACTTGCACAACTGCATTAATTATAAAAGTGTTTTTTTCCTTTTTAATCAATTAAAAAACAGTTAATTATAAATATTTGAAGATAACGTAGGGAATTAAGAAAGCATGATAAGCACAGCTACTAAGAGTTCATAGTATCGTTATCGTTAGTCACGATAATGACAGTATCGTGTAGAGTATCTGTACGGAAAAGTTTGGAAAAAATGTTTATAAATTTATTTATTGTGCGACGAATAAAAGAAATAAATTAAAGAAATCGTATCGTATGCGCATTTTTAAAAAGTTTTATTTAGTGTTAGCAATAGTAATATCAAAGTGTTTGCTGTCAAAGTGTTTATAGGTTAGTTCGAGTTAATATAACGTGAATTTCACACAAATTATCACTGTATATGTATTTATATACGTAATAACACAAACGATTAATAAATCACTTTTTATTTATTTTTTAACAAATTAATCTTTCATTGTTATTTTGCATGTTGATCGTTTTGAAAATAATATACTTTTTAAACCTACTTAATAAGCCTAATATCAAATACAAAACATAAATAAATAAGTATATATATATATATACTTATATATACATATATTGTAAAAGTGGAGAGAAAAATTGAATTTTCATGACAATAATACGATTATAAATAAAACATAAATAATTTTAAATCTCCACTTCTCTGTGAAAAAAATGTATTTATCAGTCGGTAATTTCAATGCGGTTGGTAACGTAGCAATCTTTACGATCGTCGATAATGTAGTATAGAAAAGTTACGTTAAGATAGAAAGAGAAAGATAAAAAGAGTGAGATAAGCGATAAAGTAAATATAATAGTTCGAAATATATTGACAGTATATACATATATATATATATATATATATATATATATATATATATATATATAATATGTGTCATTGAAATTTGCCCTCTATCGGCGTGTCCTCGCGTTAATTCGATCATCAGGTGTTTGAAAGATTTACATTCGAATAATAGTAGTAGTTGTTTGCTTCCAGCCTTTTTCCGTCCTTTTCTTATTCTTCTTCTTCGACAAGCGTGTAGCGTGTGCGTGTGTTTGTATGCGAGGTGCGTGCGTGCGCATATATGTATATGTATACCTCTTGTGTGGGATTAATATTGAATTAAATTTATTGAAAAATAATAAATCTATCCAAATCAATTGTTCAAAGCGCAAGAAGAAAATAACAAGAGGAAAAGAAGATTCAGATTTCACAGATGACATAAAATTAATTTAAGCGTTATCGTCCAATTACAAATAATCAGTTAATGGGACTAGTTTTTCTCTTCGAATACTATTTATCAACGAAATAGAGAGACAAGTACTTAAGTAAAGTATATCAACAAGAAAAATAAATAAGAAAATAAGGTAAATTAGTGTAACACATTTATATATAGACAATTTTCTTTTATTATTCTTAAGGTGTAATTAAATAAAGTAGAATTTTTTTTTTATTTTCATCTTTCTCTCTTTTTTTCTTTCTTTTTCTCTATCACTAATATTTCAGATTAAAATATAATGTAATTTGATTTTTTATTGCACTTTTAGACTTTGAGTTTTAAAAAGAAAAATAAAGAGAGATAGAAAAAAGGAAAGAAAGAAAGAAAAATAGAAAAGGGAAAATAAAAGGGGAGTTAATGTTGACATCAAGTAGGACAAGGTAAAAGGAAACGAAAGAACTAAGTTTTCTCGTCCTCTCGATCTGATCACAAACGTGGACGCGGATGTTCTTACTTATGTTTGTACGCATCTCGATAAGATCTTTTCATCTCTCTCACTCTTCCTTTCTTTCCATCTTTTTCCCTCCCTCTCTCTCTCTCTCTCTCTCACTCATTCACTCACTGTTTCAAACGTTCTCTCAAAGGTGTGCGACTGTTTAATTGCAGAGTTAATTACGGTCGATCTGTACGACGTAATATAAGTGCTATGACGAGTTTAAACTCTTGCCCGGATAAAAGTTCATGTCATCCAAGTGATGACTCCTCGAGGGATGCTGAATTGGATGTTAACAAGTTGGAGAATAATCTTCCAGAGGAACTATGCCTCTTAAAATCACAAGTTGCTGGTCATTATTTTGATAATGAAAAAAATTCGATAGGTAAGTTGCTTATTTTTCTCATTATTTTTCTTAATTATCTTTTAATGGATGTCCCCCCATGGAAAAAAACGAAATCTATATTACATTGTAATTAAATACCAATCGTTTTATTTTTCCTATATTAAATTCGTATTTAATCATTGGATCGTTTATTATGAAAATATTATAAGTTCATTTTCGAAAAAAATATTGAGAAAATATCATTTTTTATTCATTACAAATGTGAAATAAACTATCTCAATTATTGTTCTTTTTTGGAATTATATTTACGCCACTTTCATAATAAGAGGTCTAATTATTCAATTATACTTGTTTTTATATATGTTTTTAATTATATTTTATGTTTGTTTTAAGTAGAATAATAAGGGCGTATGTTACACCAACTGTTTCATTCATTACTGCAACGTGCAGCCAGTTGTTTTTAGATTTTCTTGGAAATTTTATTAAATGTAACCGTAATTATCTTTATTACTCTCTCTCTCTTTTTTATGAGTTTGAGGGGTTCCGGTTCCTTTACAATCGTTTAACAAAAATTTTTAAATCTCTCTTGCATTTTTATATTACAAATATGTACAAATTAATATCCAAATAAAAATTAAAATATTAATTATTACATACAAATCAAAATTATTATCTATTATTAAAATCGAATTGAAATTAATAAACAAAATTATTATACAAGTCATTCATTTAGACCCTCACTTATTTATTTATTTATTAATTATATTTTACAAACGTAAGTAACTTTATTACATCTTCTCAATGACGAAATAAAATATATATGTCAGTAATTGCAATACTGGATTAAGTTTAAAAATAATTGAAAATTTAATTTTTATGATTTATTTTTTAACGCAAATAAAATCTTCGTAATAAATTATAAGATAAATTTTTTTTATATAATTTACTAATATAATTACAAATATATATATCAATATGTATGTATGTATATATTTATTAGCTTACATCATCGAAGTTTCTTATTAGATAGGATCTAATTGAAATTAGAATTGTTTGAATTAGATCGTTCTTCGAGAGGTAAACAATTTTACCTTTTTACGCGTGATCCATCTTCTTTGACGTCAGTTAGTTGGTTAATACATGACGTCACCTTAATCTCATATAATGATCCTATTGTCATACATTTAAAGTATCAAGCTTATCATTGGGTTTCATATCTTTATACGCGGATTCTTGAGATATTTTTCACGATTATTCACGGAAGGAAAATTTATTTCACTTTTTAAGAATTAATATTTTTTTCTTTATCACGAATCGGCTCAATTTTATCTACATTACAAAAAAAAAAAAATAATTATTATCTTATATAAAATACGAGAGTGGGTTGAAAATTGTTGAGCCTCAATTACAGAACACTAAATTTTTCTTTTTTTCTTTTTAAATAAAAGTGAGTGACTGAAAAACAAATTGTTTCTACATTAGGCTCAAAACTTTGCAATTCATCTGAATATATTATTTTTTTTTTTATTTTTTTTTCATTAACAATAAATAAAAAAAATGTTATAATTGCTATAATATTTTTCTCCTTAAATCAGATAATTTTTATCTAAACGATTTTTCTTCAACAATATCTATATATATTATAATTAAAAAAAAAAAAAATTAAAAACATCGTAAATAAATAGAGAAATAATTGATTTAATGTTTAAATGGAAATAAGATTTTGTGTGTTGTTTTATTGAATTATTTTTAATTAATTTAAAATTAATCAAGCAAACCAATATAACAAAAAAATAAAAATATTATTGTACAAGGGATAAATAATTAGGTGGAGGATGGGGTAGGGTTCGTCAATTAAGAAAGAATCGCCTAATTAATTTATGCCATCACGTTATTGTAACTTGCACTTGTTTTTCCATTGCAACTTATGCAATTGGTTAGGCATAGAAATTATGTTTCCAGGTATGTTACGTACTCCATCGGGTCGTGTGTTAAAACCTATCATTAAGCCTCATCTCGGTGAAAGAGAAATAAACTTCTATGAGAATTTAAAAAGCTCTCAAGACAAGTCGTCCTTGGAATTGAGTAATCATGTGCCCGAATATTTCGGTACGACGGAAATATTTTACTCCGGCAAAAGTACGTAGTATATATAGATTATCGTTAATTCTTATTTTAATTATTTGATTATAAGTTTAACTTAAAAAAAAATATAAATAAATATATAATATATTTAACTAAAATTTTCATTAGAAAATATATGTAAATTAAATAATTATTATATATAAATAATATAATATATAATATAAATAATATATATATATATTAAATATATATTAAATATTAAAAATATAAATATATATTAAATATAACAATAATATTAGTAATAGTAGTTTTAATAATAGTAGTGGATTTATTTATTGTATTCAATAAAATATATGTACATCTATATATGTTCATATATCGCAAATGCAAATATAATATATACTTATTTAAACATATCTAATATATTTATAATTTATTTTGGCAAAAATTGATAAATATTATAATAAATTGTAATCTTTCAATTTTCTTACCACAATTTCATTAAATTTTGACTTTGTTTTTTAAATAGAAATAAAATTCCTCATCTTGCAAGATATAACAGATGGCATGGATGAACCATGCGTGATGGATATCAAAATTGGTAAACGTACGTGGGATCCTTTGGCTAGCAAAGAAAAAAGAGCTAGCGAGGAAAAGAAATACGCACAATTGAAGGAAGCTTATGGCTTTTGTATCACAGGTTTTCAAGTTTATTGTCTCTCAAGTGGCGAGCTAAAGAAGTTTGACAAGAATTATGGCAAGACGTTAACTCCCGAAGGGGTTGTCGAAGGTATTGATGAAATGTTGTTTACAAAATCAAATAGAAGGGATGAATTGTATTATAATTTATCTAGATATAATAATCTCGTGTATATATTTTAATTATAGAATTTTTTCTAAATTTTTTCGATAACATTCAAAATACTGAATGTATGATACAAAAAATAAATCTTTTTTTTTCTTATTATTAATTCAATTAAAATTTACCGCGTGTATATTTTTCTACATGTCATAAAAGCATTAACAAAAATTAAGATAAAACTTATTGAATTTTTATTATAATTGTCAATAAATTATAAAATTTCTAATATAAAAATTAATTATATTCACACTCTGTTTAATATAATTACAAAATATGAACATATGTCGATATTTGTGTTATCTCCTTTTTTTTAAAAAGTGTGCTTTAGAAAGTACACAGAAAAATCGATTATCTGTCTACTATGATATATTATAACTAGATAAATCTGTATTATGTGTTAGTTAAATATTTAAGAAAAAAAAAACAGAAAATAATTTATACCAGACAAATAACAAATTGATTAATATTTTTTTAAGCATTGAAGATCTTTTTAAACGTGACACCGCAAAGGCCACAAGCATATCGTCTACTGATCGTCAAATTATTGGCATTTCTTTGGAAGATTCTCAGTATATTTCGTAAGCAAACAAATTTTCGTTTCTATTCGAGTTCGTTGTTGATCGCTTACGATGCTAGAAGGTTGCGTTATTGCTTGCATTTGGAAAAAAGGGATACCAAGAATTTATCGAGGCATTGTCAACGAGCCCAATCCTTTTCTTCAATGTTGTCCACGACAATGGACAAGGAGAAGAATTTGGACAAGGGTCAAAGTTGTTCGTCAAAAGAGACATCAGCACCGCCATCACCGACACAAAGTGTTTTGTGTTTACGAAGAAAGGTTTTAGAAAAGACAAGATCGTTGAAACGTAGCGTGAGTTTACAATTTGGTAGTAAGGAATGTTTGAGTTCTTTTGAAAAGGATAGTACTACTACTACTACTACTACTAAGGAAAATAAGACATTATTATCACCATTCTTAAAAAGAAGCGATTCTTACGATCCAGATTTTAGAGTAGATAAACTGTGTCGTACTCATTCACAAGTTCATAATTTTGATCTGGAATTAGCCGATATGAAAGAGGATTACTTAGCAATTTTGAGCGGACTCAATAGTACATCCGAGGACAAGAACAATTGGGTCAGGGTGAACATGATCGATTTCACTCACGTCTTTCCTGCACCAAATGAGACCGCAGGCTTGGACTTCAATTATCTCAAGGGTATTGAAAATTTGATCAAAATTTTCGAGACCTTTCTTGAATAAAGAGAAAAAAAGACAAAAAAAAAAAGAAATTATGAGAAGTACGAACGACGATCCACTTTGACGTTTAAGTAACACGTAAGAAAAAAATATTACGAATCAATGATCTATATTAAACATATATGTATATGAATATGTATATGTGTATCACGTATTATGTATATATATACTTGATAATGATGATCCTGTTAATTCTTTTTTTTTTTTTTTAACGAAAGTCTATACAAGACTGAAATTCATTACCTTTAGTTATTTCTTCTTTTTCTTCTACTTCTTCTTCTTCTTCTTTTTCTTCGGTAAATATGAGATATAAAAAGAAAAAAGAAATGACTCGTATATGTATATACATATATTTTGTTCTTGCATGTCAAAAAATTATTGACACAAATAAAGATAAAACTAATCGCATTGTTATAATTGTTGTTATTATTATTATTATTATTATTATTATTATTATTATTATTATTATTATTATTAATATTATTATTATTATTTTAATTTTTATTATTCTTTTTATTCATCATTTACTCTTAAACAATTTTTACATTGTCGTCTGCAGATTTTTTCTTCAGAGTAATTTTAATTTCTTTTTTTTTTAAGTTAGTTCTCGATTAGTGATCTATCTCAACTGAAAGAATAATAATTAATAATAATAATTCGTTTAATTCGTCGTAACATTTATAATAATATTTATATTATATATATCTATATATATATGTATCTATATATATGCATATATATATATGTATATATATAGATTTATTTTATTTATTTATATATTTATATCGATTGCTTACGATCATCGCCTGCAGTCATCACGTAGCACATCGCTCGCCGCATTTTCTCGCAGACACTCATGTAATTTTTTTTTTATTATTTCCATTTTAATTTATTTATTATTATTCACTTAATTTTTACCTTTTCTTTCGCGTGTTCCGTTTCAATATGTTTTTTCTTATTTTGGCACGCGTGTGTCGTACGTGCGAGTAATGATTGAATTATTATTACGTTTTCTTTTTTTCTTTATAAGACATCGGTCTCAATTAATTTTTCTTATTTCTTTGTTGTATTCCGAAAGAAAAAAAAAAGAAAAGAAAAGAAAAAAAAAGGTGAATAAAATAAATGGAAAAATAAACCAATCAAACGACGGTGGTATTACAAGTATTAAATTTACCCTTTTTGCAATAGAATAAGCAAATTTTTATCTATCCTTTGTTTTCTCATTGTTGCATGTATTGTTTCTTTTCCTTTTTTTTTTGGTAATTTTAAATTCTATTTAGCTTTGAGCTCATACAAACGAGAATTAAATTGGCGTTGGCACGAACGCAATAAAATAATTCTTATTTCTTTTCTTTTACGAAATTACAATTGAAAATACAACGAGAGTTAAGAATATTTCGTAACTTTTCTTTTCATATCAAAATTATTCGCAATAACTTATCGTCTATCAAATACAAGRGTGTGTGTGTGTCAGAAAATCGTTATTCAATTATTTCGAATTTTATTTTTTCAAAAAGAAAAAAAAAGAGAAAGAAATACACAAAAAGTAAATAAATGTTTACAAATTTGATTAATCGAAATGTAGATGCTTTTTTAACACTAGATGTACGAGATCAGTCATTTGGATTGGTCGGCCCATTTTAATTCAAAATTTCTACTTCATGTAACATTTGAGTTCTGTAAATAATTAAGCGTTTTGTTATTTAAAAATATCTATAAGTCTATTAATCTATTAAAATTATTATTGTTAAACATTTTTTGCTATTTTTAAAGAGTAAATAAAGACTGGAAGCCTCAAAAAGCATTTTTTTTTATACACCAGTCATTTTGACTAGTGTGGTAGAAATAGGTCTACCGAAAATGGTGGTATATCTAGTGTTAATAATTTTTTCATTCGGAGCCTCCGAAGGTATAAATATGGCTTTGAATATAATAATAATAATAATAATAATAATAATAATAATAATAATAATAATAATAATAATAAAGAGAAAAATAGCGATTTTTGAAACACCCTTTTAAAAACAGATACATCTGTTGTTGTGTGTAACATAATTACTGGGAGCTTTACTTATCGATCATGATGAAACTTATAATTCATCATCTTCATTATTATTTCTTTATTTTTTTCTATTTTTTTTAAATATACGTTTTTTAATGTATCGCCGATTTTTCACAAAAGGAAAAATTCGTTGAACAAACATTTCTTGCAATAGCGTAGAAAATATGAAACAATTTTTTTCTTGTTTATTATTTTTTTTTTTTTTTCAAAGTTAACAACACATGTTAGTCGTTAGAAAAATAACGACGATGATATTAATAGCAGTAGCAGTGATAGCGGCAGTAATAGTACTAATATTATGAATAATATAATAATAATAATAATAAAAATAATTAATACAATTAATAATAATAATAATAATTATTATTATAATAATGTTATTGATAAAACTAATAGTAATATTAATAGTAAGTAGCACTATATCACATAATAAATACCATAAAGATTACGTATACTTTTAACATAAGAGTATTTCTAATAATAATAATAATAATATTAATAATAATAATAATAGTAATAATTTTAGTATTAATAATAATAATAATAGTAATACAAAAAAAGAGGGGAAAAAAATAAAATAAGAGAGGAGTTTTTCAATGAAACAAAAAATCTAACTAATCAGCCATTATTACATATATGCATATAAATTTTACGTACTACACAATGAAACTTTAACTCTTTCCACTCATGGACACATTCCGATGCATACAATGGACCGCATCGTCGTTTTTTTTTGCGTGTTTTTATTAACAATCAAGTCAACGTGTGCGCGTGCACGAGATTATATTTTTTATATACATACACACGCAGTGCTTTTTTTTTTTTGTTTTCTTTTTCTTTACGATGAAAAGAAAATTGGTACCGGAACTAATTTCTTTAAATTATGTTCACGAATATCATTGAAATGAAAATTAAATTACTTTTTTTCTTATACGTTACGAAGCTCGTTAAAAATTCAACGTAATTTATTTTAATTTATTTTTTATTTTTATTTTATTATTATTAGATATTTTTCGAGTTTAAAGTTAAACAAACAATACAAAAAAAGCACTGTACATACATATATATATATATATATATATATATATATATATATATATATATAAGTATGACCTAAGAATATATCACAATCTCGATCGCGATATTTTTAAATTATTAGTTGTAATAATTAGTAATACTCGAAAAAATATTTACGAGTGATTTTTTTCATAATGTGAAAAGAAAAAAATATTTTATAAACATTGATAGAGAAGTTCGAAATTTCGGTGGAAATAAAAGATAAAGAAAAAAAAAAAAAATAAAAAGAAAACAGAAGAAAAAGAAAAATCGATAAATTTTTTTTTTTATTTACTTTCATTGAATAATTTATGGCATTTTATTTTCACGTTCGTGAATTGATCGACACAAGATTTTTACGAGAAAGCAAAATGTTTTCTGAAACATCAAACTCAACAAGATTTCGACGAATCTTTTTTTTCTTTTTTTTCTTTTCAACGGCTTCGTTCTTGTTATTATATTATTATTATACACTTTATTCCCATGTCAACCCTACGCGGGTTTTTAACATAGCCTCCTTGCGCTACTACTTTATTTTTCCTATTCTTCCTCTCCTTCCTTCTTCCTCCACTCCTTCCTTCCTCCTCCCCTCCTTCCTTCTTCCTCCTCTTCTTCCTTCTTCCTTCTTCCTTCTTCCTCCTTTCCTTCCTTCTTCCTCCTCTCCTTCCTTCTTCCTCCTCTCCTTCCTTCTT